TCTTGTTAGGGAAAAACATTTACATTTAACATTTAAGAGTTTTAAGAATTGGTTGTGAAATATTAGCCCTGGAAGAAGCCTTTAGGGTCGTAGTAGTCCACTCTTATGCTGTTAAGGAAACTGAGTTAGAAAGGAGAGGGAGAAACTGCCCAGTCCTGAGGTGCATGCTGCCCGGGGAGGGCGGACGCAGGGGGGCGGGGTGGGGGCAGCAGCTTGTTTACAAATCACATCGTCTGCGAGTCCGGGTGTGAGGAGGGTGCAGTAAAACGTTATGCGCAGTGGGATTTTTAAGAAACAAAACCAGATTTGGAATTGGCGTCTTGGGAAAGCACGTACGTCCCGCCTGCCTTGTTTTCTGCGGAGGGAGCTTGCGGACGCTGGCTGTAGTGACATCTGGGCCCACCAGGTGGCAGACTTGTTTCACTTTAGTGCCACCCTGCCTTTGGCTTCTCAGCGAGTTGGTGATAACCTATTCCTTATTTAAATAATAAAAGGTTCCACGATGTTTGTTATAAATATATTTCTAAAATTTCGTGCGATAGTTTGAGTTATGAGAGAAGTTGCTGCTGTATCTCCTCTGCCTGCCTGATGCTTGCTTTTGTTAGGGTAGCAGGGTCCCGTCCTTAGCCCTGTCCTCGGCCACCCTCCCGCGTCAACCTCCATCTCCCAGGGCCTGGCGAAGGCAGGGTGACCTGAGCTTGAGGGCAGCACTGTTTTGCATCCCCCCTGCGCGGTGCCCTCTGAGACTCACGGGTGGTACAGCCGACTGCGGCCCGGATGGAAGCATGAGTGGGGGAGATGAGCGCAACGCCTGTTTCTCACCCCCCAGTTCTGTGCCCGCCTTTGCTTGCCCACGCAGTGTCTCTCACCCTGTCCTCCTGGCCTGGAGTGTGCTACCCTGCACGGCTCACCACCCGCTGTCCTCACGAGACTCCACAGACCAGGCCACCAGACACATTAGGGTGTTCGAGTCCCCTTCCTGCCACACGCAACTAGGTGACCTTGGCCGAGGCCCAGCCCTTCTTTGGACCTCAGTTCCTGCGCTTGTGAGTGGAGGATTAAAGGGTAACCCCCACAGAGAGCTCAGAGCTGCGACTGCCACTGACTGCTCCACTGCTAGCTGCCATTATCGTTCAGTCCCTGGAGCTGTTTAGGGATCTTTCTTTTTCCTTGGTTCTTGGTGGGGTTGGTTTGTTTGGGGTTTTTTGATACAGGGTCTCGCTGTGTTGCCCTCGCTGGCCTCAAACGTCCTGAACCCAAGTGATCTTCCTGCCTCAGCCTTAGGGGCAGCAGGGGCTACAGGTGCTACCACACACCCTGCAGGAGCTTTCCTTGTGTCAGTGTCATCCCCGTCACACACCAAGCACTTGTTCTCCATGCTGGCCTCCACCTGTGCTGCTGCTTTGCGTGCTCATGTCCTTCTGTGTGTGCCTTGGGCCCCTGCAGGACACCAGTTTGGCTTTGTCTTTCCAGCTTGGCAGGTATAGAGCAGTAAGTGTGTGGGCTTTAGGGATTTTATACGTTCTCTTTTTCTCTTTTTTTCTTTTTTGGTACTGGGGATCAAACTCGGGTCCTTGCAAAACTACTGAGCTAAATCCCCGACCCTTTCATACGTTCTCTTGACAAGCGAGATCTTACCCTGTCTTTAAGTAATGTCACATTTACCTGTGCCTGCCATCGTGATGGGTTCTTGTCTCCTAAAGCTGTGAAGCCAGTCATAGTGCCATGTGCCCCTAGTCCTGATGACATGGAAGGCTGAGGCAGGAGGGTCACTGGAACACAGGGGTTTGGGGGCATCCTGCGAAGCATGGTGAGACCCTGTCTGAAAAACACCAACCAAAACCAGAGTCCCAGGTTCACACAGTCCATGTGCTTCTGTGGCCATAGCTGCACATAATGTGTCTGTGTCCATCAGCAGAGAGATTAGCCGACTCTCAGTGGATGTTTAGTGAGGGTTGTCGAGTTGTGCCAAATCACATTGCACACCAGTGCAGCCGTCCACAGATTGGAGTGCAGTGGACCTGCTGATGCCTCCCTGCTCACCCCTGTGTGCCAGGCACTGAGCCCTGGCTGGGCGTGGCACTGGGAGCGCTGGGAGCTGAGCTGCGTGGTCTCTACCAGCCAGGCAATGCATGGCCTGCAGTGCCTCTCACCAGGCTGGGTGACCGACAGGGCAGAGCGGGGCCTGTGCTGTTCCCACTTTCTCCTCCTGCACCGCCTGCAGCACCAGTCAGTCTGTTTTTCACAAGGGCAGCTGGGAGCAGATTTGAGTTTTTCAGATTGAAAGCTTACTTTCACTTTACTTAAGGGAATCCTGTGGGAGGTGGTGACAGATGCACAGGTTCTATTTCATCCCTGTTCTGCCAGCAGCAGCTGCCACCCGGTGGAGGAGAAGTGTGGGAGGGAGGTGCCGGGGGTCTGCAGCAGGGAGCAGCATGTGGCCCGGAAGCTTAGGGAGGACAAGGGCAAGGAGGGCCTGGCTGCCCAGTCAGGGACGGCCTGGTTTTGCTGGTGAAAGCTAATGTCTCCTATTATGAAACAAAATTAGAACAATTCAAAGAGCTGATCGCTTTACTTTGATTCTAGAGTTGGAGCACACTTCGTCCCACAATGTGGAATAAGTGGGCTCAGCAGAGAGGATGGCTTTGTCCACAGAGAAGGGCTTGAGTGAAGCAGCAGCCGAAGGAAAAGGCTTCCTGTAAAGGACTAGGAGGAGCCAGAACAAGAAAATACTGATTAGTAACCCCAGGTTATTTCAGGTCACTTTGGTGTATAGATAAAGCCCGGGGAATTTGTTATCATGTCATTTGAAACTGGACGATTTGGAAAATTTCTCTGATCCTCAGAAGTTGAAAGTCAGATAAAGAACTGTTTTAGATGAGTGACACAAAACATTAGCAAGAGTGGCTCCATTTTGAGTTTTAGTTTGGTCTTTTGGGGGCCAGTGCAGAAGCTTGGTCCAGAACAGCCTCCTGTGATTTTTATTCAACACTGAAACAGTCAAGGAAGTTGCTAAAGGTAACCCAGTCATTATATTAGCGGGTACTATGTGCCAGGCACTGCAGTATGAACTCTGAGGAAACAGAACCAAGCTTGGCTCTGGGCCTCTCTTACCCCAGCCTCACTCGTGCTGCCTTTACTTGCCAGACAGAAAACCTAGGACGGTGACATCACCCATGCGGCAAACGCTTGTCTCCCGGAGCGTTGTTGGACATTGGGCGAGCAGAAATGTTGAAGAGCTGTGTCCGCTGGCGGCCATGAGCCAGTGCCCTTGGCAGGTCATAGGGCTCCCTCACTGACTTACTTCCTTGAAACCTGTAGGGCACCTGTAGACCTACACGGGTAATGGCCGCTCCCTAGTGAGACGCAGTGCCCCACTGCTGATAGCGGCCAACCCAGCCCCACCCGAGTTCCACTGCTCCTGACCTGGCTGAGGTTTAGGTCAAAACGCTGGCACCAGAGCCGCTGGAGCAGCATCCAAATTGCATGTGCTTCCCTTGTCATTTTTAGCTAACCCTGGTCAGGGAGGCTGGGTCAGGCTGAGTGGGCCCCATCACTGATGCAGTAGAAGAAATGTGAGCAGGTAGCAGCCACCCCAGGACCACAGGGGCCCGGGACCACGTCACTCCTCAGCCTGAACACCTTTGACTCGCTTCAGATCGTGTGACACACACAGGAGTAAAAAGCAAGGGACTCTAGAATACGCCTCCGTCTTCCTTCAGATTCAACTTTTGTGTTCATACCAAGGTCATACAGTTTGTTGTTTGCTGACATCCAGGTTAATTGGAATTTGCTGAAGTAACCTGCAAGTCTGTATGTGTTTCAAATATAAAAACAGTAAGTTAGTGGCTTTGTGTTGGCATAACCATTGAGTTACACTGTAGGTATTGCTGTCAGTGGAAAATGTTTTCCCAAGTATTAGAATATGTGCTATGAAAAGCACCTGAGTTCCTTAGCAGAACTGACCTCTTAGGGCCAGGGATTTAGCTCAGTGGTTTCACCGCCTGCTGAGCAAGCGCAAGGACCTGAGTTCGATCCCCGGTACCAAAAAAAAAAGAAAGAACTGACCTCTTTCTGGGGCCAGGGATTTAGCTCAGTGGTTCCGGCACCTGCTGCACAAGCGCAAGATCCCGAGTTCGATCCCTGGAACCAAAAAAAAAATAACTGACCTCTTTCCTGCATCGGCCGTCAGTGATACTGGGAGGAGCAGGGCTCTGAGGTGACTGAGTCAGCTGCTGCGGCAGGGAGGCAGCCGGGCGGGGAGGTCTCTGTCCATCTCAGCATGGCTGCGGGCGGAGAATGCACTCGGAGCCCCTTCTGTTTGTCTTCTAGAGAGTAAGGTTGGGGGATAAGAGGAGTTCACGCTTTATTCCAGAGAGTTCTGTGCCTTTCTTGTTTCAGTCGTGCTGTGGGCTGGCCCGGGTTTTCTGGCAGCTGGGAAAGAGGACTGGCACATGCTCCTCCTGGGGTGCAGCCAGTCCATTTTCTCATGTGTCCTCAGTGCGAGAAAGCTAGCAGGTGCCCCCCTGTTGGATCATCAGAGGCAAACATGAGGCTGAGGCCATGCCAGGGATTTCTTCTTGTGTCTTAGGGTTTTACCACACAGCTGGCTCAGTGTCAGGGTCCACATTGTGCGTGTGTGAGGCTGGGGTTTGATCCCCAGCACCAAAAACCAAACAAAACCCCATAAAAACAGTTTGCTTGTGCTTTAACCTGAAGTGAAACTAAAATTCAACACCAGCTTCATATGTCTTTCTGAAGTACAGTACCAAGGTAGCACCTGTTTTAGAAAATTTGAGTAAAGCAAGGGTTTTTGCTTGCTTTGTCTGCTAATGAGCAGACTTCCAGGCTCCCCTTGCGGAGGTAGTGCCAGTGCCCTGCAGCCGAAGCCCTCTTGTCTGCCCACTTCCGGATGGGCCTGTGCAGGGCGGGGCCGTGCTGGGGCCTGCTGTCACGATCTCGCACTCCCGGCTGCTCACGGTCTCCCTCCTGTCTTCCAGTGGACGAGTACATCGCTATTGCCAAGGAGAAGCACGGGTACAACATGGAGCAGGTAAGGGCGCACTTCCTTGTGTGCGTGGGGTGGGTCCCCGGGCTCCCAAGGGGCCTGGGCACAGACCAGCGGTGCCCACGTGCCCGGCGGGGAGGGGACAGAGCCTGGTCTCCCATTGGCACAAAGTCTGTTTCCTGCTGTGGTGATGTTCCTTGTTTTGAATCACTGAGTGGTAAACGTTCGACTAAGGGTTTTTTTTATATTATTTGGAACATTGATAGGAAAACTACAAAATTGATTTTTCTACCAAAGTGTGTTGATAATTATATTTCATCCTCAGGTTCGAATTCCTACTTTAAGTATAGTAAGTGGATTAATGCCTTCTGTGGCATTGATCTGCTGTTACAGCCTGTAAGTTACTCACATTTCTCAATTAACTAACAATCCAGGGTACCCAGAGCTAGGTTATAGACAAGTGGATACCTGTGGTTAGGCTTGGCATCGCTTTGAATTACTTTATCCTCGTCACTAAAGGTACTTTTTAGAAAAGCCATCTGCATTCATATAGTTCCAGAATCACTCAAAGCAAAAAAAATATGTTTCTCATTTTCCAAACCCTGTGCATGAACTTCATACATTGGGTTGAAAAAGCATTAAGTTTTTTTTTTTATTTAAAATGTTTGTAAATGTTATTGAAAATTTTCTAAATAATACCTGTGTGGTGGTTTTGAGTTTTTTGTTTGTTTTGTTTTATTTGTACTGGGAATTGAACCCAGGGCCTCTCATAAGGTAGGCAAGGGCTTGCTTGACCACTGAGCTGCATCCCCAGCCCTGTTTAGTTTTACTTTTGAAACAGGGTCTTGCTGAGTTACCCAGGCTGGCCTCAGACTTGTGATCCTCCTGTCTCAGCCTCCCAAGTAGCTGGGATTACAAGTATACATCACTGTGCCCAGCTATATGAATTCTTCAGGATGATAGTCTTGACCATTCCATCTTGAAACGATCATTTTTAGTTTAGAATTGTGATATTGGAAGGTTTTGTAGCAAAGTATTGCTGGATTATCTTTTGGTTCTCATTTGTTCTTGTTCATTGTCACCTATTTTTTTCCCCCTGAACAGGGCGTGGGGGGGCACTGTATATATTAGAGATTTCTTGTGAAAGAATAACAAAGCAGTTGCTTCTGAAAACTCTCTACACCTTTCCGACACAGAGCTGTTAAAGTGTGGTGCTTCAAGGGCACAGGTTCTGGAGCCGCCTGTCCTGCTTCTGTCTTCCCTGCTCTGAGGCAGTTGGTCGCCAGGTTACTCGGTGTTTCTGGGCCTCCATATTCTCATCTGAGAAGTGGAAATCATGTAAGGCCACAGGGATTGCGAGCTAAATGCGTTAGTGTACAAAGGGCACTGACAGAGAGGATCCCAAGGCAGCAGCACAGTGGAAGCCAGGAGTTTGTCTCCCTACCTGGATGCGCACTGCACTGCAGTGCAGAAGGTGTCTGTGGGTCTTCCCAGCATGGCTTGCAGGAGCCGGAGGGGGCAGCAGAGCACCCTGTCCCCTGCATATGGGGACCTGTGCTGAGCTCTGACTGCTGCTTGTCACAGGGGCGCTGTGCCACCTACTGTCATGACCCTCAGGGGACCCAGGGGCCCGCCTGTGCCCTCTGCCCCCCTCTTGTTTCTCACATCCCCCTGGCGAGGCAGCTGTGAGTGGTTAGGATGTTCCCAGGTGACTGTGCAGTGGGAGTAGGCTTCTCCAAGACCACCGACAACAGCAGGTCACAGTGCATGGCCAGGGAAAGAAGCAGGCTCAGAAAAGACCTGCAGAGACCTCACACTGAGCCCTACAGCTGATCCTTTGAAAACAGATTGCACCTGGCAAAGAAGCAAAAACTGTGACAAAAATATCATACCAGGGGGGCTGGGGATTTAGCTCAGTGGTTCCGCTGCCTGCCTTGGAAGCGCAAGGTCCTGAGTTCGATCCTCAGTACCAAAAAAAAAAAAAAAAACAAAAACCACACCAGGGAAGAACAAGTATCTGATTTACCAGTGTCACCACATTATTTGATTTATGTAGCCAGTTTTCAACAGAAAAATTACACAGAAGGTATGGGCCTTGAAAAACAATTGAGTTGGTGGCAGATGATACCCGAAGTCTGTAAAGCAGTATTGTCACCATGCTCAAAGAACTAAAGCAAGATAGGAAGAACGGCAAGAAAACGATGTATGAATAAAATTGAAGTATTGAAAAAAAAAAAAAAAGAACTTCTGGAGCTAAAAATTTTAGGGATTTAGCTCCGTGGTTTTTCCACCTGTTGCACAAGTGCAAGGACCCGAGTTCAATCCCTGGTACCAAAACAAAAATTATAACTCAGATGAAGAATTCACTAGAGGGATTCAAAGGCAGCTTTGAGCAGGCAGAAGAAATAATCAGTGAACCAAAGACAGGACAGTTTAAATTATGGAGTTTGAGGAACAAAAAGAAAAAATGCTCATGAACAGGAACCGTAAGTACTGTGGGAGAACATTGTGTTGTGGGAGTTCCAGAGAGAGAAGATGGAAAGAGACAACAGAGCTTCTAAATAATAGAACAGGTTCCCAAAGTTGATGAAGGTCACGAATACAAATATCAGAGCAACTCAGCTCAGCAAACCTGCAGACAGACAGACTCGTGTCTACACCAAGACTGGTGGTCGCCAGTGCGCCAGTGTATGTAACTGCACTTGGTGTTCTCTATAGGACTTCAGAGACTCAGACATTTTTAAACGTCTAAAAGCTGCTACAGCCTTAGTGTTTGTAACTCCACATTGTTTCCACATAACTTAAGAGACTGGTGCATTTAGAAGAATTATTAGTTCAATTTTTAGCATACAATATATAAAAGTACAATTTTGTAATTCACTAACTGAGAGAGGTCGGGGAGAGCTGTTTAAGGAGCTGAATTTGTATATAGTATTGAAACTATGCCAGGATAAACTCACAATGGAAAGTTACAGTTTCAAGATGTTACATGTAATCCCCATGGCAACCACAAAGACAGGCGCTGTAGAATATATGTATACAAAGGGAGATGAAGAGGGAATTTAAACATTCCCAATGAATAATCAACTAAACATAAAAGAAGACTGTAACTCAGGAAATGAGAGACAAGAAAAGCTGTAAGGCTTAGAGGAAGTAAGTAGATACATGACACAAGTAGTTTCTTTAGTATCAGTAAATATGTACCTTCACTGTAGGTGGACTGTGCTCTCCAGTCAAAGCACAGGTGGGCAGAGTGAGTAAAATACCTGACCCCGATGTATGCTGTGACCAAGAGGCTCCCAAGATCCAAAGACACAGGGGAAAAGAGAAAGCTAGAGAAGGTTGTTCCATGAAACAGTAACGGAGAAGGGGATAGCTGGGCTGATGTCAGACAGTTAACCCTAACCAACCGGTTCGGAGACACAAGATCGTTCACTGTGGGTGGGGAAGACAGCCTTTAAAAATGAACAACAGTAGGCTTGTGTGATTTAGCAAATCATCTCCTGGGCCTAGACCCAAAGAACTGAAAGTAGGACCTTGAGTGTCCAGTGGGTGAATGAATAAGCTGTGGCATATACATATGATGGATTATTATTGAGCCTTAGGAAAGAAATCCCTTGGCTCAGCATGTGGGGACCCTTGCAGGCTTTACAGTAGGTAAAATAAGCCAGTCACAAGGGCACGAGCTGGCTGGTTCTGCTTGGCTGAGGTGTGGGGGGAGCGGCCTGACCAGAGGCCTGAGTCACCCGGAGGGCGGCTGCCAGGATGGGGACAGGCCCAGGGCTGGGATGGTAGCTGCTGTTCAGTGGCTACAGAGGTTTCATTTCCCCAGGTGGAAGTGGCTCCAAACCAGTGCGCATGTGTTCAGTGCAAGTGAGCAGAACCTGTGGGGGGAAGGGCTGGGGATTTAGCTCAGTGGCACCACACCTGTCTCACATGAACAAGGTCCTGACTTCAGTCCCCGTTACCAAAAAAAATATGGGAGAAAGGGGATAGGACAATGTTCCCCACTTATCGATGTATGTGAGTCAAGCATTTATTCGCTTGTCTGATAGAAAGCCGTATATGCTTTTCTCTTGGCAGCATCACTTCAGCTTTGTGTTTGATTCAGTTGTTTGGTCTAAAGTCTCATTCATATCTCTTTTCTAGGCTCTTGGGATGCTCTTTTGGCATAAGCATAATATTGAAAAATCATTGGCTGATTTGCCCAACTTTACCCCCTTCCCAGATGAGTGGACTGTGGAAGATAAAGTCTTATTTGAACAAGCCTTTAGTTTTCATGGGAAAACTTTTCATAGAATCCAACAAATGGTAAGTGGCCACTGTCTTTTATTTCCCCGAGCAGCTGTGTTCTGTGCATGCATGAGAGATGGACTCTCATCCTTGAGCATAGATATCCTTGCTTTTACTAACTCTTCTTTCAGAAGAAGCAGTGTCCCAGTGAGGTCCTTCCCAGCCCTTGAGCTGCGCTACCCTCCCACGCACCACTGCAGACTCTTGTTGGGGTCTGTCCACAGGCAGTGAGCCCAGGCGGGACCTGAGGTGGCACATCCAGTCCAGTCTCTGTGGGGGAGGTCTGGTTAGCTTTTCATTCTGGAGAGCTGTTTGGTAGACTCCTGCATAAAAGCCCTCTGACTTTTGCCTTAAGTGCTAAATGAGTTCTAAACAACCAAACCCAAAGTAGTGCTAAGAGCCTTTACTTACATGCAAAACAAATTCTTCTTAGTCTGACTTCATGATCTTTCATTGGCCCATTTTCACTCAGTAAACTTCAGAAATTTGAAAGCACATTGAATTGAAAATGTATTTTGTTGGGCCGGGGATTTAGCCCAGTGGTTCTGTCGCCTGCCTCGCAACTGCAAGGACCTGAGTTCGATCCCCGGTACCAAAAAAAAAGAAAAAAAAAGAAAATGTATTTTGTTGATTTTTGTTTCTTACCAGAGAAAAAGGCTGTGACTTAGGACAAATCTGAACGTGAGAGTGATACTTATTAAATATGTCTAAACACATTTGATGTTTGAAGATCAGCTTTAACCCTAAACTAACTCATCTTTTATATTTAGCTTCCTGATAAATCTATAGCAAGTCTGGTAAAATTTTACTACTCTTGGAAGAAGACAAGAACTAAAACCAGTGTGATGGATCGCCATGCTCGGAAGCAGAAGCGAGAGCGGGAGGAGAGGTGGGTGTGAGCCAACGTGAGCCTGGCCCTTGGGTCTCGAGGGGCTGTGGGCACACAGACGGCGAAGGCTGGGCCCGGGACACACAGCAGGCAAGCACGCCCTGCAGCCTCCTGCTGCTGCTCTCTGCAGGCTGTAAAGCCGGGCTCGTTTTAATAGATGAGATCTCTTGTTCTTTAGTTGAAATTTATTTGGTGTGGTAAGCCAAGATTCATTTGACGTGTGTATTGGGTTTGTTACGCGACAGCAAGGAATACAGTTTAGATTTCCTTCTTCCCTCTTTTGGCCATATGTATTGTGTTTGTGATTGAGAAAGAGAAGCATTCTGTAATTTACTAGAAGGATGTTAATTTAGGTTTTTGTTGTTGCTGTTGTGGTTAGTTTGCTTTTTGGGGCTTTGTTGTTGTTCATTCTGCTGGTACTGGAGAAGGAACCTAGGACCTTGTGTGCTAGGCACGTGCTCCAGCACGAGCTCCGCCCTGGCCAGGTTACTGGCAAGGACAGCTTGTAGGCAGGAGTCTTTGTGGTCCTCCTGCCTGGGTGCAGTGGCAGGCAGGCTGCAGCCTTGGCACGCGCTCCTGGTCAAGTTGGTTCAGCAGGCCACTTCCCAGGGGTGTGTGTCAGCTGGATGAAGGTGGCTTCTCCAAGTTGATCTTCCACATTTTCTGTACTACATTACTTATGAATTAGTAACAGAATAAAACGGAAGCTGAACTATGTGGTTCCCAAAGTCCCTTCTCAAGAGAGAATCTGATTATTGCAAATGGAAGAGAATAACCTGCAAGAAGACATTGAGAATAGAGTATCACTTTCAGGGAGTTCAAACTTCGGGGCCACATATAAATTGAGAATGATGTTAAGGACATCTCTAAGGCTCTTTGCAACTATGAGAGTCTAGCTAAGTTGGTGGTGCTGTCTCTGAATTATAAAAATGTTATTATCTCTGGAGTCTGAAAACATAGTAATTTTATATTAAATCTGCCATTAAATCAATGTATTGCTTATATTTGTAAGTGGAATAGAATTAATACAGAGTAACCTTTCCATTCCCTGTTCTTGTGTTCCAGTGAGGATGAGCTGGAAGAGACAAATGGAAGTAACCCCATTGACATTGAGGTTGATCAAAACAAGGAGAGCAAAAAGGAGGTATTTTCCCTGAGTACTATTTAGACAAATACATTTTATTCTAGTTCCACCTAAAACTGTCTTCTTACATGTTCTATTCACTTGTTAGGTGCTTTTTACATAGCATAGCATCACATTAGGACTGCAAACACTCACAGCTTCACTTTACAGAACTCAAGGGAAAGGGGCACTGCCGAGTGGACGATGGTCCCACCGGCCCCGCTGCCTTCCTACATAGGCAAGGGAGAGCTGTGGTAGTGAGGCTCCGCCTTGCAGCCCTGGTGGTGACTTGCGCTCCCATACCAAGGCACAAGAGGGGCCTCTGTGGCTGTGTGGTCTCTCCGTTGTGTCCATGCAGGGGCTTTTCCGGAGACCGGGCCCTGGTCTCTTCCTCTCCGAAGCATGAGTTAATTTTAAGCTTAGAAAAACAAAGGGCCTAGACATAGCTAGAGTTTAAAATCACACCGGTAACACATGCTTCCTTCAGGCAGAGTGAGAATGCAGCTAAACACAAAGAGGAGAGTAAGGTTATTTATGTGACTGTCACCTGTAGTCACTGTTAACATTTTGGTACCTGGGCCCGAGATTTAGCTCAGTGGTTCCACTGCCTACCTTGCAAGTGCAAGGACCCAAGCTCAATCCCCGATTCCAAAAACAAACAAACAAACAAAAGGGCTGGGGATTTAGCTCAGTGATTTCCCCGCCTGCTGTGCAAGCACAAGGACCTGAGTTCGATCCCTGGTACCAAAAAAAAAAACATTTTGGTAACTTTCCAGACACCTTTTCTGTAAAATGTATGTGTCCATATACATACATAATTATGACTGTTCACTTTTTAAAAATAATAAGAGGAGTTCTTGCAATGTAATTTTTGCAAACTTAAAAATTTACCTTGAATATATTTTTGTCAGGTATACTTGTATACATAGTTACATATTCATCATATGAATCTTAGAAATTGAGTTAACTGATCACATGTGAATTTCTAGCTTGATTATACCCCCTGCTTTTTGCTGGTATAAACAGTGCTGAATTGATGATCACATAACTAAATATTTGTGCACTTACTTTATTCTATTTGAATTAATTTCTGGAAGTTGAATTGTTGTAGCAGAGTGTTCTGTATGCATTTTTAAGGTCTCCTTTTAATGCATATCACCAAATTGGAAATGGGTCATTCTTTCTGGGTGGTGTTCTTGCCAGTGATTTGCAGGAATGTGAGGAGTAAGACCCTCAAAGTTAGCTGGACCAGTGATTGGGAAAGGAGATTGGACTGGGTTTCTATTGACCTTTTTTCCTAATGTGTTGGAATTTATTATTATTATTATTATTATTATTATTATTATTAGGTTCTTCAGTGGACCATTTTCAATGAATAAGAAAATGATTTTATGACAGCTACTATAATTCTTATTTCTATAGTACAATATCTAATTCAAAAAGAAAATTGGTTAAACCTTAGTTTAAGTATAAAATGTTATTATACGGACACATGTTCAAAAGATAGTCTTTATTAAAACAGTGTAGTGCTATGCAGAATATAGTTTATTGCCTAAGTTGTTTATTACCACGTGAAGCAAAAAGACTGAACATACTTTTTTTGATACCTGGGATCAAATTCACAACCTTGTGCTTGCAAGGCAGGCATGGTGCCACTGAGCTAAATTCCCACCCCCAACTGACTGATTATACTTTTAACTTTAGATTATGAACTATAAAAACTTTTAAAATGGTTACCAGGGCCAGGGATTTTAGCTCAGTTGTTTCGCCGCCTGCTGCGCAAGCGCAAGGACCCAAGTTCAATCCCCGGTACTCCCCAAAAATAAAATAAAATAAAATGGTTACCAGTAAGACCCTTGCCCAGTGAGATCCTTCCCTTGCCAAGATTCAACTGTGTTCGTTTCTGAAAGTTACAGTTTTAGAGACAGCACTTTAAAAAATTAGCATCTGGGCCAGGGATGTAGTTCAGCAGCACCATGGCTGCCTGGTACATGCAAGGTACTGACTTCGATCCCCAGTATAAATAAATAAATAGCAGCTGTCATGCATTTTGGGGTGGGGGCACTGCAGATTGAACTCAGGACCTTGTGCTTGCGAGGCAGGCATGGCACCGCTGAGCTAAATCCCTGGCCTTGTCAGGCATTTTTTTTTTTGGTACTGGGGATCAAACTTGGGTCCTTGCTCTTGAGCCGCAGGCGGCGAAACCACTGAGCTAAATCCCTGGCCCTCTGTCAGGCTTTTTTTTTTTGGTACCGGGGATCAAACTCTGGGGTCCTTGAGCTTGCAAGGCAGGCGGCGGAACCACTGAGCTAAATCCCTGGCCCCGTCAGGCATTTTTAAATGATGCCCCACCCCCCTTAAGCAAATAATGAGTTGTCCTAAAAGCTGTCGTTTTTAAATAGCCATACTGGGCATCATACCAGGGCTCATGTGTGCTAGGCAAGCGCTCTGTCACCGCACTGCCACCCCTATAGCTGCCCTGAAGTTAGGTGTTTTCCAAAAAGAAGTTGTATGTAAAGTCATAACTTCCTACTGAAGTTTGTATTTTTTCTCTTATTTTCCTCTTCTCTCCTTATGTCTGTCCTTCCTTTGTGCTGGGGACTGAACACAGAGCCTTACGCTTGGTAGGCAGGTGCTCTAACCTTGAGCTGCACCCTGGCCCTGAAGACTGTATTTCTTCATGGAAAGATTTGAAGAATTATAGATCATTCCATATGCCAAATCATTTTTTTATTTCTTTGGTCGTCTGTCAATGTGTATTGCTAGAGACCACTGTTGGGATAAAAATAGCTGCTCTTTATTTGTCTCTGTGTCATATAAATAAGCATCTCTATGGCCCTAAAGCTCAAAAGGGAATAATAAAAAGATTTTTTTTTCTTCCTGTGTTACTCCAGAAAGCTGAGAACACTTATTAGCAGAGGCTCCAAGGAAGAGACTAAAGATGTCTCTGTTCAAGAAGGAAACCGAGTGCACTTTGAAAGGTTTAGCCAAAATCCCAAGCCAGGGTTCTCATCTGTTAGCTAAGTTCCTTCTAGAGGGTGTAGATGGTGATTAGGGTATGGCGTGGTATTTGTCTTACATTGTTTGGGCCTTTAAAAGACATATGCTTATTACTCTTCATTTGGCATTTTAATTTTTACTTTTATTTACCAAGTATGTGTATCATGCAGGTGCCCCCTACTGAGGCAGTTCCTCAGGTGAAGAAAGAAAAACACAGCACACAAGCTAAAAACAGAGCAAAAAGGAAACCTCCAAAAGGAATGTTTCTTTCTCAAGAGGATGTGGAGGCTGTTTCTGCCAATGCCACTGCTGCTACCACGGTGCTGCGACAGCTAGACATGGAGCTGGTCTCCATCAAGCGACAGGTACTGCCCAAGGTGCCGCCCTCTTCACACCTGCACATGGCAGGAGCTCTGCCTGGGCACTGGCCTGGGGTTGTTTACCTTCACTTTTAGATTAGAGTATTGTACAGAGAGAAGAGTGCACAAATGGGGTCTTTCTCTATAGTGCATCTGTGTGTGTGTGTGTGTGTGCGTGTGTGTGCGCACACGTGTGCCCCACATCCATGCGTTCCTCGCCCACGCGCACAGGCACCCTCCCTCTGAACCAGGGAGTGGCCGTGGCCCCCAGAGCCTCTCTGTGTCCCCTCCTGGCCGCTGCCGCCTGCAGGCAGCACAGAGCCCCTCCGAGGCCCTCACCTCATTGGGGTGTGCCTTCTCCCAGCAGACAGCCACTGTTTGACTTCTGGAAAGCACAGAGGGCCAGGATGCGGCTCAGTGGCGCCACGCCTGCCTCAAAAGCTCAAGGCCCTGAGTTTGATCCCCAGTGCCGGGAAAGTAAATAAATAAGTAAATAAATAAATAGCACAGCTTCTTCTTTGTTTATTTGGGTTTTTGGCAGCGGGGTTGGAACTCAGGGCCTTGCGCTTGCCAGGCAGCTTCTCTTCCCCACTTTTGGATTTGATGTCAAGAGTAATCACACGGCATTGTTGCTTTATGTGTGTCTTAACTTTCCTCACTGATATGCAGGTGGTGTTTGTCAGGTTCTGAGTTCTCTACTGGTCATCTCATGACTGTTCCCTGTTGTCATGTGCATGGTAATCTCCAGGGCTTTTAGAACTAACGTGGGCATCCACGTCACCACGTACTGTGCTTTTTGTGAAAGCTCTGTCTTTCCCCACTGTACTGCACAGCTCTGGATTTGAAGTCCAGAGTCTGCACAGGCATGGGCATAGTTTGGAGTCCCGCTCCTCTGGTCTGTGTGCTCACCCTTCACCAACACACGCCGTCCTCACTTACACACCTTGTCAGTGTGTGCCTGGCAGTGTAAGTGTCCAAGGTCTCGGTCACCCCTGATGCTTCATATTTCCACATGAAAGGTGGGATTGCTTTCTCAATTTCCAGAGGAACAGCCCTGCTGGGGTCTTGGTTGGGTGCGGTTGCAGCTGTCAGGTCAGGCCCCGCATTGGCTCTGGTGAGCGGGTGTGATTCCACTCACGCTCATTAGTCAGATCTCTATTCTCTGTGGGGTTGTTTTTTTTCAGTACTGGGGATCAAACTCAAGACCTTGTGCTTGCGAGGCAGGCAGTATGTTTTATTATTTTTTGTGCGCAAGGCCTAAACATCCTTTGCTAGTGCTATCCCTAGATGTTTGGTGCCCTTGTAAAGGGTACCGTGTTTTAAGCTATCTTTTGCCGTTGTCTATACTTGCTGTGTAGAAAGCCTCATCACTAATCTGATTGTGTTTCACCTTTAGATGGAAAATGCAGCCCAACAGTCTGGCATTGGCCTTTCATGGCTTTGTGTCTCTCCTTCCTTCCCTCCCTCCCACCCTCTGGAACTCAGTTCCAGAAAACGGTCTACTTGTGGTCTGCAGTTTTGGGTTGTGCTGCTTTTGATCTGTTAATCTTGGTGATTCCCACACAAGGCTAAGTGAGAAGCTGGCAGTCGTTTCCCAGATGAGAAGAGTAGGGTGTGTGGCCCATCTTCCTTCCACTTCAGGGAGCTGACACTGACCGGACCACACGTGTCCCCGGAATGGAGGCCACTCCTTGTTTCGGCAGCTGGCACAGCATGGTCTCATCCTTCCCAGTGACCCAGGGACCTTTCCTGACTAGATTGCCTCTGGCGTGTGACTGGATCCCAAAGACACAGTGTGGCCTGGGGCTAAATGCCCAGCCATGTGGCCATGTTTCCAGGGCTCCGTGGCCACACACAGCCAGCAGCTGTGGCATTGTGTGGCCCAGTGCTGCACAGCGATGCCACACCGAGACCCACTTCACCTCAGTGGGGAATGGGTCCTGTGGCCCGGGTGCGTGCCACCCCTTCTCAGGGGCAGTGCTCCCCACACCGGCCGGATCTCATGCTCCCGGTCCCCCTGCTGAGGGAGTCCAGGGCAGTTACAAAGTGCGCATGTGCAGGAGGGAAGAGTCCCTCTCCACACAGGTGCTGCTGACATTGGCGTGAGAGCAAGGCCAAGGGCAGGCGCATTTGGCTTTGGAAGACAGCTGCTCAGCAATGGATGATTTTGAAGAGAGCTCAGAGCCTGACTTCCTGAGGGAAGGAGAGGGAGGGCTGTGTAGAGAGCACATACCGCCAGATGCATCTAGCAGGAGGGACAGCCACTCTGCACAGGACTGCTGGCCAGGCAGGAAGCACTCACCTGAGGGCAGCAGAAAAGGAGCAGCAGCTCCGACACCTAAAGAATCCTTTCTCTCTGGGAGTGGTCGGTGTTCGGTGCTACTGTCAAGGACCAGGTTCTCCCATCAGACCCTCTGCCCTGCCATTCCAAACTCACTGTCTCCTCCTGACATCGTTGGAGATTTTGGAGGCCGTCTGTAGCCCTCACACCTGTATTCAGGGTGGAAGGAGGAGGTGGAGGTGGAGCTAACTGGCCTGTCCCTGTCACAGGACAAGCAAAGCCCCTTACCAGTGGTCCCTCACAGCGCCTGTAGCCAAGCCCTGCATCAGACCCAGGGAGCAGGGCCAGCATGGCTGCATGCCTCCAGAGTGCTGTCACAGTCGGTGCTGCTGGAGAAGGAGATGGTGTGACAGGAGGAGGAGAGTGGAAGAAGCAAGCCGTGTTCAGCTGGCAGGTCAGGAAGGGACCAGGCCTCGAGGATTGGCCATGTGCATTGCTGTTCTTGATTTTGGTTTTTTTAAACGCTGGATTACTCTGTGTCCTAATTCTTGCTACTCTTGCCGTTCAGATTCTTGGCAGTTGGCATGGTGTTGGCAGCTACCCCTCTGCCCTTGTTCTAACTGTAACCCTCGGGTGTTTCCAGTGTGGAAAGTGCCTCAGCTTGTGAGAACTCAGAGACAACGTCTGGTGTGCATTTGACCTGTGTGCTTTACTCGTGGCCTTAGGACAGGAAATGCGTGGTGAGCATGCTGGTCTCCCTGGGAAGTGCATGCTGCTTAATCACAGGACAGTGCACACCCGCTTTGTGTCGTCTAAGCGGAGCCAACTCAAGTAGAGAGGGCGGCACATGTCCCAGGAGCGCTCTGGGACATGCGGTGTTCCCGGATGGCTTATTCCTTGTGGGAAATGTGTCAGCCCAGCTTCTCAGCTAAAGGGATGTGGGGAGCGTGCCATCCCTGGCAACATCTAGTAGGAGTTGGTGAGCAGAGGGCTTCAGCCAGCCCAGCCTTGGGGATCCGTGGTGTCACTGTCATGGACAGTGCTGGTCCGTAGAGCTTGTGTTACTTACTGAGACCTTACTGGGGGTAAATAGAGTTCCAACATCAGTTTATTTTCTTCTGATTTGCACCTTTTCAAAACAGTGTGTTACAACAGATTTCAGAAAATCAAAGTGTCCGCTTATTCCTTTTGCCGGGTAACTCTTCTGCACCTTCCTGTATCTCCCTCCCTTCAAGGCCCGCTGTCTCCATTTCCTTTGCTAGCGGGAGTTAGTCTCTGGGGAACGTCTTCTATTTGTGAACGGGTGTCATGTTTTCCTTGGAAAATCAGCCTATGCCTTCGCTGCCTTCCTCTTTGCTTGTGCTGTTACTGAGATGAGCGTTGCTGCATAGCACGGAAACGCTTCACCTGGGCTCTGAGGAAGGGCCTGCGGAGTGCGGGGCTGGCTTGCTGGCTGTGTGGTGTTTCTGTCTGTGTAGAGAAAGGGAATTTGTGAGAAAATGAAGCCAGTGCCGCTGATGCAAGTTAAGATTGTGGAGCACTCACTGATGTGTGGCCTCCTTTTGTCCCCTTGAGGGCGTCTGCACTTGGAGCCGCTGCCGTGTAGACCAGTGGTGTGCGTGGACAGTGTGGCGTGGGGCCGGGCGGCTATCACATGGCTCTCTGTGCAGCCTGTGCTCTGCCACCTCAGCTGTCTGCTTACGTCCAGGCAGTGCAAGCCCAGGCCTCGCCTCTCCTCTGGGTCAGGCCCAGCCGTGTCCTTCGGCACCAGCAGTTGCCTATTAGGAGCAGCGATGCCGCTCATGTCCACTCCTCTCACTGTCCCTCAGGAAGCAGGTGAAAGAGTTTCATAGGCTGCCCTCAGAGGGCACCACAGTGGGGGTTGGGAATGTCTCAGCTCTTGTTTGTTTCTTGTAATTTTTTTAGTTCTCTTTTCATGCTTTTCTAGAGTTTTTACTTATAAAATGAAAATGTTTTTCCTTTTTAGATTCAGAATATTAAACAGACAAACAGTGCTCTCAAAGAAAAACTTGACGGTGGAATAGAACCATATCGACTTCCAGAGGTAGGATCATATTAGCCGTCTCAGAAGTCTTCCCTGAGTTTAATGTCTGGGGGACACATTTCCAGTATACATTTCTTAGAAAGGAATAGACATAATTTCCTAAATCCAGTTGATGTTAAAATTATGATGTGGGGGAAGAGCATTGGTTGAACTGTCACACGGACGTGCTTATCTCTGAGTGTAACTGTCCAACTGTCTAGGTCACTCAGAAGTGCAATGCACGCTGGACCACCGAAGAGCAGCTTCTCGCCGTGCAAGGTATGCAGGGCTCTCCTCCAAATGCCTAGGGAGCCCCACAGCTGCATTTGTGGGAAAGGGAACATTCTACAGGGGTCACTTCAGCCACAGAGCTCCATTGTCCTGGGCGGCCTTTATTTTCCTTTCCCATTTCTCACAAGCTGTAAAACTGACATGGAAGGCAGCGTTCTAAGGACATGATTGTTACACTTCAGCAGATACTTGTTGAGCTCTGAGTAGTCAGACTGTACCCCTCTGGCCAGATGCTAGAGCACTGAGGTCCTCCACACCGGGCATCTGCACCATGGGGCACTTGTGAAGATTCCAGCAACCCTGTCTGTAGCATGATAGGAAGAGATTTCCAGATGGTGGGGTCGAACTGGACTTCTGTATGGTCGCTCACAGAGTGTAGCCTGGACTGTGCCTTCCCGTGGCCTGACAAGCTGGCTGGCTCCTGCTATTAAAAGCCTGTGCGCTTTCTTGCCACGTTGAAGAGGCTGAGCCTCAGTTGTGATTTATAAAAAGTATTTTTCTCTCCTATTTAAACAAATAAAACGGGCCAGGGTTTAGCTTAGTGGGGCCACGTCTGCTTCTCAAGCGCAAGGTCCTAAGTTTGATCCCTAGTACCTGAATGAATGAGTGAATGAATAAAACAACAAAAGCTCTCTTCTGTCCTCAGCCATCCGGAAATATGGCCGAGATTTTCAAGCAATCTCAGATGTGATTGGGAATAAGTCAGTGGTACAGGTCAAGAACTTTTTTGTCAACTATCGACGCCGCTTCAACATCGATGAAGTTTTACAAGAGTGGGAGGCAGAGCACGGTAAAGAAGAGACCAATGGGCCCAGCACCCAGAAGCCAGTCAAGTCCCCGGATAACTCCATCAAGATGCCTGAAGAGGAGGATGAGGTAACCCTGACGCAGGGCGGGCTCCTCACTGCCGCTGCGCCTGTGCCTCTGGCAGGGCTCCAGCTGGTGAAATACCCTCAGGTGCAGCTGTGTCAGGCCTCCTGTTAATACCTGCGTGCTGACGCCAGCCAGCTCTTGGCAGTTCATTGTTCACACTTCAGTTCCTGCGCCAGTTCTTCATTTCACTCTGGGTTCCTCCAGCCAAAAAGTACCGCACAGCCAGCTGCTCTGAAACCAGTGAGACTGGCGTGCAGCAGTCATCGGGAGGTGCTGCGTCCCTGCTGCCCCTTCCGGCCTTTGGTGCTGTTGGGGCTGCCTGGCTTAGATATCGATGGGGCAGTTCTAGGCCCTGTGGCTGTCACAGCTGGGAGGGTGGTGGCTGACCCTGTAGTCGTGTCCCGGATGCCTTCCTGCCTTCTTCCTGTGCAGGCTTACCTGCCTGACCACCCCTCCTCAGGCCTCGCCTCTGCCCACAGAACGTGTGTATGGGGCTCGTCTGAGGAAGGGCTACAGAGCTGGGGACAGCGGCACCCTTAGGATTTGTGGGAATGAAAGCATCTTCCTCATGCTTTCCGTGAGGCTGGGCATGGCTCGTCCGGTGTGCACCTCCCAGCAAGCAGCCACTCCCAGCTTCTCGTTGGTGTTCAGTGTCTGTATCTGTTTACCCAGTCTCCTCTTCAAGAGCCACGCGAGACACAGCAGGAGGCTGCTGATCTAAGATGTCTGTGATCCTCCTTTTCCCTTTGGTCATTTCAGTGGTGTCCCCCACACCTGCACTGACATTCCTTTACCCCCTTCCTTTCATGCTTCTTACAGCATCTGCCCTCCCCTGCCGCCCCTCTTGTTTTCCTTCATCGTGTTAGTTTGCAGAAGGAATTAGTCTGCTCGCCCAGGGCCTAAGGGAGCCTGTTTGAATACGAGCTCACTGGTGACTCTCACTCATTGTAGCTGTGGGCTCGGTCCAGCCCTGGCCTCGGGTTGTGGTATAGTAATGTGGAGAATCATGTGCCCCTTGCAGACCTTTCTTCTTTCCAGCCAAGATGGGAGAGTCACCCAGAAGTCCTTGCGGTGCTGAGCATGGGGCGGAGGGCGTGATGCTACTTCCATCCTTGCAGCAGAGAAGGGGCGCAGGGAATGCTGGGGTCTCAGTTAAAATTATGCGATGATTGGATGCATTACCAGTGAGGAGAAAGAGTCCTGAGTGAACTGGCAGCAGTTCCTGTAAATTGCTTTTTCCCTGAAGGAGCCTCGCTGTCATATTGTGAATTCCTAGGCCAGTTGCTTCCCGGCAGAAAGGCTGCAGGGAGCAGTAGGGCCCTACACCCGCTTTGGGGGCAGGCAGTGAAGAAGGAGGCGCCTGCAAGGCTCTGAAGAGGGCCCTGTGGTCCTGCACACCGCTTCCAGGCTCCCAGCACTGGCCAGAGGCCGTTCGCAGGTTCCCAGGCAGGGCCGAGTGCCATGAGTGCCACCGCCTCCGGCCCGCCCGCCCACCCATATCCCAGCCAGCTGTGCTGGTGCTGCCTGCAGGGGTTTTCAGGTAACCCTGGGAGGCAGCGTCACCACCTGGCTGGCCTCTTAGTGCCCAGAAGGACTGAGGGTGCGCAGGGCCCCAGAGAGTCGGGGCATTGTTGGCCTGCACTCTCACCTCTCCTTCCCTCTCCCTCTCCTCAGGCTGCCTCTGTCCTTGACGTCAGATACGCATCTGCCTCATGAGAACGCTGGCAGCTTTGAACTCGTGGTGTGGACTCTGTGCTATCCAGGATATCAGGTATTACGAGACATCACCTAGCCATCTGCATCACATCTCTGTGGACAAGCAGCTATTACCAAAAAGGCATACACTTCAGTCCTGTGCTCCATCTGCCTTAATTCTTTGCTCGTTCCTCCATGCTGGCACCACTTCCCAGAGAGCTCCGTTGCGTCTCACTCTGCCTCAGTGCTGGGGAACCCATGCCTGCACCCCCTCGACTCAGACCCACCCCCCACTTGGACCCCTGCACCCCACCAATGGCAGCTCTTCCCCATCAGCAGCTTCGGAACAGGGAGTCTCGGAAGGCTCGACTCTGTTCTTGCATGGCCTGCGATTTCTACTTTGTGCATAATGTAGTTTTCAGAATAACTGACCTGGTTGGCTTTCTAGGAAGTTTTTCTTGTTCTTTTCCGGGGCAGCCACCTAAGTAATTCCAAGCTTCTTTGGAAGTCACGACACATTGTCAGACTGCATTGTGACCTTATTGTGCCAACCATCCTGATGCAACTCAGTTCCCCAAGTATAGAGTGGAATTATGGTTCATAAATTTAGTCGGCTTAAATCTCTCCCCTTTCTCCTTTCCCAAGTGTTTAAAAGCTCGTTCTCAGCAACTGACCTTGGACACTGTAGCTTACAGGGAATGTTGGACTTCAACGCTTTCTGCCTTCAACCTCAGCATTGCAGTCCCAGGGTGGGTGTGCCCCATCTTTTCCTGATCCCCAGCCACCACTACCACCGCCCCACTCCGAGAGATTCGGTCCATATCACTATACCTGGTGCTTGTGCATTCGGAATTGGTGCCTTCTCCTCTTGGCAACCATGTTACATCGACCCTTTTCTGTTCAAGTGTCTTATTTAAAGTTTATTGCTTGCCAAAGATGACATCATCGAGGTAGGTGGGGAGCGCCTCTGCCAGCTGAGCGCTGGCTCCAGGGTTGGAAGAGCTGCCGGTGGGTGTGTGGGAGCAACACCGCCGCCCTGTCCTCGGTGTGCCTGGCCTGCTGCGTGTGTGTGTCCCTTTGTGTCCCTCGAGTGCTGTGTGACACAGGCACCACCCCCGTCTCAGTAGCAGAGAGCACGAGACAGAAGTGGTCAGCGCGTGGTCTGGTGAGACCAAGGTGAGAAGAGGCCTTTTGGTTAGACTGGGAGCAAGCAAGCTTCTAATCAGAGTGCTGAGATGGCCTGGGCCACTTTGGTCCTCCCCAGACTGGGGCCTGTGAGGCATGAGGCGCGGACGCCAAGCTGCACCTGCCACCCAGGGCCACTGCACATGCGCTAAAAATGCAGGAGGAGCTTTGCTGGTTGTTTGCATCATTTGAATAATTTTTCCTGCTTTTAATACCAAAAAGAAAACAAATCCAGATGCTTTAAGGCATAAACAGAATTCTTATGGATTTTAAATATGCAATTAAAAATTTGATGTTTTGACTCCCAAGCACCTTGCTTCTTTTTTTTTTTTTTTTTTTTTTTTTTTGTCAGCTGATTTTCTCTTTAGAAAGAGGTTCAGCTAGGACCCTAGGTTTTGGGGATTGTACATTTCGTTTTAGACATCTGGGGAAAGGTCATTCCAAAGGGAAGTGCAGAGACATCCCTCGACTTGTCCCACACAGCGAGTCTATTGGCCAAGGAGAGCCTGCTGTTCCCACCTGCAGACAGGTAGCAGAGTGACACTAGCACTGGGCAGGTTTCTGTGTGTCCCACAAGCCTGCCGTGGGACTGAGTGACGGCCGGAAAGCGCAGGGCAGAGCTGGCTCACAGGAACACAGGCCATCACTGTGGCCTCGGTCCTCCTGGCTGGACTCGCGCCCTCGGTCCTGCCAAGAGCAGCAGCAGGCGGCCCCGCCCCACCCTGCCCAGCCAATAGTTGTCTTTCTTTGCGCCCACCAGTTTCCTTAAGATGGGACCCCTCCCGGCAGAGCCTAGAAATGATGTTCGGCTGCAGGCAGCATGGTGGCAGGTCCCAGTCTGTTCTGCATTGTCTCCCGTCCCTGGCGCTGGGCACCCTCCAGCCCCGACAGGTCACATGGTGTCCTCAGGCTCAAGGCTGCTCAGCTGGAGCTCGCTCTGCAGCGTGGCAGAGGAGCAGGAGGTCTGCCGGCCCGCCTGGCTGCAGGCTGTGCATCCAAGAGCACTATCCTAAATGCTGTTCCTTACACTGTCTTGGCAATTATGTAAATGCAAGGAATCACCTCGCTTCCAAAGCCAGTGATGAGTGCTCTTGTCTATAGTGAAGACTCTAACATATCAAGAATCGGTGCGTCGGGGCCGAGGATTTAGCTCAGTGGTTCCGCCACCTGCCTTGCAAGCGGAAGGACCCGAGTTCGATCCCCGGTACCAAAAAAAAAAGAATCGGTGTGTCGGTGGGCTAGGTCCAGGACTCGGTAACTGCTTTAGGTGGAATGTCACTTAAGCTTGTGTTCTTAAAATTATCAATGTGAATGTCATAATTATATATATTTTTGTGGAAAATTCTCCTAAGTATAAGTTATTGTGCAAAATATAGTATCATGGACGCAAATAGTTTAACTTTTAGTTTAGAAATCCTAAAAGATATAAATTGTATTGATATGCATTAAAAGTTTGTTTTATTTAATTTTATGTAGATGTATAAAGTGTTAGGTAAAAATTGTTTTCATTTATCCATTTAAACACCTCGTTACTTGAATGTTGTGTTAGCTGGTCAGCAACAGCGACCGGCTCTCTAGTGCAGCTCTTTGAACCAGGAGGTCATGGCCTCAGTCGCCAGCTGGGGCCGGGCCAGGCAGGTGCTGGTGCGCAGGAGGAACAAGTTAGTGTGGCTCCCCACCCTGCGTGCTGTCTCGGGCCTCAGCCTGATGCCTGCTGGTTCTAACCTTCTAGGACCCGCTGGTGGCCACAGCCTCTAATGCAAAATGGAAAATGAAGCAATTCTTTGGTGTTTATGTTAAATTTCCTCTAATATCCCACACCACTTAAGTGTGCTTGTTGTCACTTTAAATTTCAACTCTACCCTATTTTTGTCTTTCCAAATATCAGATGTACTATTGGTATAATTGCACACCAAAAAGAAGCCAAACAGTGCATTACACTAACTGGATCCCTGCTTTTATGCGAGCAAAGGAAAGATGGAGCCAACTCCAGCGCGAGCCTCTCTCTGTCTATCTCTCTTTCTCTCTCTCTCTCTCTCTCTCTCTCTCTCTCTCTCTGTTGTGTCCCATCCCCCACCCCCACCCCATTTCTGATCTCACGAGCCCAGGATTCCAACCCTCAGCATCCCGCGCGCCAGCCTCTGAAGAACTCCAGGTAGTCAGTCAGTCCTCGGAATTAGTGATCCGTGCAATGCTTTCTGCCATGCCCTGGGGCTCTGCAGCTTCTCCTACTGTAGCAAAGCACAATTGCAGTAACATTACAATTCAGAAGGAGGTCAGGAGAGTCTATGCATGTTGTAAAATAATGAGTGTTTACAGTCACCGTCTCCTAAACAAAAACTTATACTGGAGTGGATAGTATTCCATATGTAGACTTACAACTTTGCTAAGTGCTTTTTAGATTGCTTAAAATTTTTCAAAATTTTAAAAGATGTATAAGGTTAAGTTTGCAAATATAATGGAAATGCTGTATATCTTTTGAAGTGATAAAATCCACGTTGAAATTTTAAAGAAAATATGTTGTAATAATGCTGTTGTAAGTAATATTTTCATGTCTCTCTTTGCCTGTTTTCTATTTCAGCACATTCATTGTCGTGAATGTTCATAGCATTATAATTGCTTAGCCATTGAATGATAACATTTGTTAGTAGAAATTGGAAGACTTTATTTGTGAAATTCTGCAGAATTCATTTTTCTATTTCCAATATTTGCTGAAATTAAATAAAAATTTTCAAGCCATTGATGTAATAAAATATAAAACAGACAATTTTCTGCAACCCCCATGTGCATCTGTCGGTGAGGTGTTGCTTCCCTTGTGAGCGGGCCACGGGGTAAGACCTGTGGACCCACGGCGCGGCAGCTTGCTTTTCCGCCTGAACTGTGTGAGACTCACGGTCAGCATCAGGTTGGGCTCTGTGTGTGGAGATTGACAGCTTCAGTGTGAAGAAGGTTGGGTATGAGGATGGGTTTTTGGGGCTTTTTTGTTTGGTTGGGGGTTTTTTTGGTACCAGGGATCAGACTCAGGACCTTGGACTTGAGCAGCAAGTGGCAGAGCCACTGAGCTAAATCCCGGCCATGAGGATGTTTTTTTTGGTTTTTTTGGTTTTTTGGTTTTTGGTACTGGGGACCAAACTCGGGTCCTTATGCTTGCGAGGCAAGCGGCAGAACCACTGAGCTAAATCCCCGGCCCTTGAGGATGCTTTTTATCAGCTTCCCCCAGCTCCGCCTGACCTTCGGTCTCCACACGGCCCTGCATTGGGGCGGGGAAGAGATTGACCACCACTTGTGTCGCCTCAGAAGGCTAAGATGGCCCTGCTGGGCCCAGCCTGCCCGAGGGTGTGAAGAGCACTATGGTCTCGCGCCCTCCCCTCTCTGCCTGGATCCAGTCGCTCGCCTGCCAGTCAGCTGTCTGAGGTGCCAAACAATCCCTGAGCTAAGTCCCCGTGCAGAGAGGCGGTTCAAGGGCTCACTGCACTGGGCATTTGGGCCCCTTGGCCGGGATATGGGGGAGAGCAGAAGAGCCAGCGCTGGCCCCACCGTCCCCTTTGGGCACCTGCTCTGTGACCCTGAGTCCTGGAGAAGAGTGGAAGGCAGCAGGCAGGCCTGCGCCCGGGCAGCTCAGTGTCTGGTCTTTGGAGGGTCACACAGTGTAGAAGCCCAGCATCTCCCGGAGATGGAGGGCAAGGGGCTGAAAGGGAAGCAGTGCAAGTGGTGGGGATGCCTGAGGGGAGGGCCCGGCCCTGAGGGACGCTGGATCTCAGTCTCCAAGGACTGGGAAGAGCGTGGGCGGGGGTGAGTGAAAGGCCCGTCAGCCCAGCCGGAGTGGGCACCGGTCAGGTGCAGGGACAGCACCCCAGGCCCGTGTGAAGACCCTGGTCCAGGCCCCTTCCTTGTCTGCAAGGCTGCTCGGCCCCACCTCCCGGTTCCCAGCTGCTCGCTGTGGTCCTGGCCAGGGCAGTGTGCAAGGCTGCGGAGGACGCTTGGGCTGCTGGCTCCAGGCAGCCTTTCGGGGCCATCACCCGGGCGCCAGCTCAGTGGCCCGTGGTGCTGACCTGTCACGGAGTGCACCTGTGCCAGTTTCCTCCCTGTCCCACTTCCTGGGCCCCCCTTCTGTTTTCAGGGACCATTTTCAGAAGGAAACTCTACCGACAGCCCCAGCTCTGGCTCTGCCCTAACTGCGCGTGCACAGGGGAAGAGCTGCTCTCCTGCACTGGACAGATCTGGCTCGACTGAGGGATTGGAGCCTCGTGCTCGGCAGCATCCTGGGAAGGAAGCCAGGCAGCACCTGGCTTCCCAGCTGCCCTTGGTCATGGTGCTCCCTGCTCCTCGTGGGTGCTCCTGGTGCCCACCACGGCCCAGCGGTGACTTGGAGGCCGGGATTGTGCGCTGTCCCTCGAGGGCCACTCGCCACTTCTCCGCACGTCGCAGCCCCTTTGAGCTCAGCCACCATTTGGACAGAGATGCCCAGGTTGGCTGCATAGATGCGGTCCTCATGGCCAGGAGCAGGGAGGGCTGCTGCTTTCCCGCTCCCTGCCAGGGCCTCTCCCCACCTGTGAGGGCTGAGCTGTCACCAGGACCCTCTCCTGTTCTCTGGGCCTCCGTGGCAGTGGGACCCTCACTGCTGTGCCCGCAGAGGGACCCGAGAGACAGAGACCTGCCCCGAGCCGAGTCCTCTTGATGCCTGGTCATCTGACTAGGATGGGCGCCGCAGGCTGCAGGTGGCAGCTCAGCCTCCCTCACTCCCACTGGAGCCGCTGTCTGTCTCCCAGTGGAGCCCACAGCCTGCCCCTGCTTTCAGCCTGTGGCTGTCTCCTAGAGCCTGGATGGGGACTCAAGTTCCTGGTTAGAAGCTCTGCTCCTTTGCACATCGGAACACACCGCTTGCCCGCTGGCCTTCCGTACAGGCAGCGAGAGTGTCGCCTCCTGTCCCATTGCCCCACTGTCACACAGCAGTGACCCTCAGGCCTTTTCCTGTGCTGTTGTGGAAGCTGCTCCGTCCACTGGACTGTGGGTTCCTTGAGATCTTGACTGTCAGAGTCCCTCCCTGGTTCCCCAGAGCTGGGAATAATGCGAGGCACATAAATGCTTGTTAAAGGAATCAAGAAATTGAGTGCGTTGAAGAGGAAATAAGTACCCACTGGCCCTCAGCCATTCTGGCTCCCAGTTGGCACCCAGGGAGTGGGATCTGCAGCTGCCGATTACTTCCCGGCCATCCAGGGGATTAGCAGCTGGGCCAGGTTTTGGGGTCCTTCGCTTGTTTATTGAGATGTCTGCTGTTGAGATGATTACTGCCAAACCGCCAGGAAACCACAGGTGTGGGTTGCGCTGACTCCCCCCTTCAGGTCGCCTACTCCCCCTGCCCCTGAGGAGAGCTGCCCACCCCCCCGGCCACAGTGCAGAACGGAGTGGTGCTGCCTTGCATCACTGGGATCTGCCTCTCCACAGCTACCCCAGCCATCTCGTGTGTGAAGCTGTCCCGTGTGGAGAGGGCCCCACACCAGCTGCAGCCGCCCCAGCCAGCCTGGACCTCCAGGAGCAGGTGCAGTGAGTGTAGCGCCACTGTGGGCTGTCCGGGCTGCAGGGTGCCCTGTGCTAGGGACCTGCTTCTGCACAGCCTTCAGCCCCTTGCAGCCCTGGTGCCCTCTCTTCAGCACCAGGACAGTCAGCAATTTTCGGCATCCTGCTCATAGCAGAGCAGCAGCCCCATCACCTGGACTGGCCCTGGGCCGACAGCCTGCCTGCAGCCACACTCTGCAGCTGTGTCCTGGCCATTCCTGTTCCCTCTCTCCTCGCCTCCTGCAGCTCCAGGCTGTCCCAAGGGGCTCAGTGCCATTTTTTCCGCCTTGGCCTTTTCCACGCAGGCCCTCAGATGCCATCAAGACTGTCCCACAGGCCTCTTCCTTCCCCGAGGCTGGGTGCCCTGGGCTAGGGCCTTCGGTGAGCAGGGAACCCAGGCATCACACTGAGCCCAGCACTGCACTGCCCTGTGCCCCCACACAGCCTTCTGTGAGCTCCGGCCTGGTGCCTCTGAGGACCTCCCTCCTCCATCAGCGTCCCCCTTGCTTCCTTGGCCCCTCCCCATGGCAGCCAGACGGTATCCGCCTCTTTCTCACCCCTGAGATGAGGCCCAGGCTGCTGGCTAGGCATCAGGAAAACCCAGGTGACAGCTCACAGCCTTAGTGGCTGAGTATGAGCAGCTGGGCGCAGCCTGTGGTGCGGCCCGGATCACCCCATGGCGGGTGCCGATAGCAGGCTCGCTGGGGCAGTGGGGAGAGCTGGATGGGCCTTTTGGGCATCCTGAACCCAGCAGAGCCCCATTAGTCGCTTCCAAGCTAGGACTCCCTCCCAGGCCCCATGGATCTGCCGCTGGCCCCACCGCCACCTGAGGACCAAGCTTCCCTCATGACCTGCTGGGCACATGGGCTGGACTACCGACGTGATCAGCGACATCGCCATACGTGTGGCATGGGTGACCCAGCCTGCCTGCCCTGTGAGAGCCCTGCCACCCTGAGAAGCTGGGCACCGCCTGCTGGATACGGTTGGCTGGCCAGCTGCCACCACCCAGCCCTGCGACCAAAGCCGCCCAGGGGCAGAGGGCTTTACTGGACCCCAAGAGTGACCAGCATGGGCCCCGCCTGGCCACGACCACTCCGCTTAAGGTGGCTTCAGGTTGTGAGCAAGACCAGCAGCCGCTGTTCTAGACGCTGGATCTTGGCGTGGTTTGACGCATGGCAGCAGTGACTGAGGTGGCCAGAGAGGGGCAGCCCCAGGGATTTGTGACAAGGTCACCAACAGGATTGGGCTGTAGACACCATGGGGCACTGCCTGGTGGCACAGCTCTCGGGGAGGATCACAGGGCCCTTCTTGGAGGACACCAGCCTGGGGCACGGGAAGTGACACCTGAGCCCTGGGTGACATTCCTGCTGCCGATGAGCACTGAGCATGCAGGGCCTGCACCAACTGCGAGCCAGGCTCCTGCGCAGACTGGGTGGGCACAGCTGGCGGGCTTGGCTTGAGCTGCCTCTGTGTGGGGTCCTGTGGTGGCTGTGGAGCCTGGGAGCTGAGCGCTCCCTCCTGGCCCTGCCGCACTGCCTGCCTCCCGCTTCAGCCCGCTGGGGCTCCCATGTTCTCCTGCTGTGCAGGCGCATCCGGGCCGATTCTGTCCCTGACCCCCCTGAAGGTGGTGGAGAGTCTCTGGGTCTCCACTCTGTCCCTGTCCTGCCGGACACCCAGCAAGCAGGAGGCCACCTGCCACCTCCCTGACCTAAACGCAGGGACATCTGGGGCTGCCGCCCACCAGCAGAGCTGCGGTCGGGGCGCAGGGCAGGATAGGCCTGGGGTTCCCCAACTCTGGAATAGCCCTGGGCCTGCATCCTGGGTGTCTCACAGCCCTGAGGCGCTCCTGAGAGCCAGTCCCGGGTGGCAGGAGGCAGGAGGGTCGGGCGGCCAGGGACAGCCAGCTTGGGGTCCCGCTGTGCTGTTTGAGCTCCCGGGTCATGGGGTTTTCCCTCAGAAAACACAACAGAGCCTTGGGCTCGGTTGGTTGCCAGCCTGTGTGTCCGTGTCTGGGCCCCCACCTGCGGCACTGGGAGAGATAAGCAAGGACTGTGAACTCCAGGGGTGACCAGGAAATGTCGAAGGAAGCCAGGTGCCAGTGGGGGTTCCCATGAGATCACCAGTGAGACAGGTGCCAGGAAGGCCTGGGCCCTAGGACCTCACCCCCTGTCCCCTCTCAGCCCAGGGTCCCCTCCCCTTCACTT